ATGTTATCTTACATTATATATACTAGACGATTAGCCCGCGCTCTGCGGCGGGTTACTGAAAGATGCATCAAACAATTAGAGTTGATTATGAATTTTGTAATAAAGAAAGGTAAGTCTCATTTTACACTAAAATGAGATCATATATCCAAACAAAACTACAACGATTAGATTTAAATTGCATCTCTTGGCTGTTCTTCTATACATTCAAATAGATTTAATGATATTATCAAAAACTACAACACTTGCGGTATACAACATGAACACTGAATTCGTAGCAGATCGTTTAGTTAACCAAAAAACAAAGTTATAACTTGCAAGGATAGTATTTTACACTTGGAGCTTCCTTTCCGTTGAAGACAATTCCAAAATCTTCAGTGGTAGAATCATCACAAACCAATCCACATATATTTTTAGAAGACAGAAAAAATGGGATAGAAGAAAATAAAACTATTCATACTAAATACTATGAAACAACAACTAATCTGGTGAAATAATCTTCCAATTAAAAAGATGAAACAATCAAACTTAGATGGTCAAACATTTGTACATAGAAAGCTTGATAGTTGCACGTGAATGAGAATGAAATGGTTTCTTTGGTACTGGTTACGGTGCTAATTGTACAAGAGTTAGCACCGTCCTAACCAAGGGTTAGTAGTGATTTAGCTTAGATGTTGTATTGATTTTATAATAATCCGTAGTGACTTCGTTGTTTTTAGTAGCGTTTTTTGCTAGTTATCACGGTGCTAACCCCCTATAAGGGTTAGCACCTAATCCCATCCCGGTTTCTTTATGCAAATCCGACAACATTTATGAATACCAATTATAACTGATGAACCAATGTTGATGCGGAACAGCCATGTTAAGATCATGCTCCAAAATGAATTTAAGAACAATGTAGTAAAACACATTTTTATGTAGAAATATTTTGGTGATTTAGAAACGTAAAATTGTAAGTTTTTAAGGTTAAAAGCGTGTTCTACATTAATTATAAAATTAAGTTTTTATGTAAAAGCGTTGGTGACCTAGAAGCGTAAAAACATAAATTTTAAAGCGTGATTTTGATTCATTGTTTAAGAAACTAATTTTCTTCCATGTATCAAAATAACATAAGATTAGTAGATGGATTAGTAGATGAGGAAAATTACTACTCAAAGCAAAATAGCCATGAAACAAAATGACATTGGTGTTTGGTTTTTTTATATTATAGATTATTAGTGTTCCCTTCACTTACACACAATGATTTGCACTTGGAATGGAAACAGATGTCACCAACCCAAATTTCCCTTCCTTCTCCTCTGCCTCTCAACGTTCTATTCCTCTATTAGCAAGCACCATTAAAATCCAGAGGCCATACATGGTTGGCATTCTAGGATAACTTTTTTCTCTAATGATATTCAGCCAGCATCGCTTGAGACTCCTGGATCCCTGGCAATGGGAAATCAGAGTGTAGATCACGTTGGAAGGAATTGGGATGAGGTAGAGCAGAGAGAGTAAAAGAAATCGAAAGAATTCCATCTCACCCTGGTCTTTCGCTGTTCTAAATTTTCCACAACAGAAGTTCGGCTCTATAGATCCATTGCGAGTTTAGTGGATTTTCAGAGAAGAAATTGGTCGTTGACTCGTGGGATTCATCAAAAGCCGGCAAAGGTGGCACTTCCAAGATCGACTCGGAGCCCTGCAATCAGTCTCATGGTTCACTTTCGCCTCGGCAAATCAATATCCATGCTACCAACCGGAGAACGCGGAATAAATTTGGGTGGAAAAGGGATGGGGAAGAAAGGAGAATCCAATGACCATCGTTCTTCTCTATTCTGCTTCTCACAAACCCCCGAAAGAGAATGGGCAGCCGAACATCTTAGCTAGGGGTGGCAACCGGTCGGTTTCGGTTTAACCGAAAACCGAGAACATGACCAATAGCCACCGTCGACCGACCGTCCCAGCAGTCCCGGTTAGCTGCAAACCGACCGGTCTGTTTCGGTTTAGGTGCGCTTTAACCGGGGCATTCTGATTTGATCGAGCCCCTGCCCCTCCACCAGCGGTCGCGATCTTATCCCGGGCACGAATTTCAACGTCGTCCCCAACCTCAGCTCTTCCCCCACCGATCTCCTATCCTATGCTCGCTCCAGCCAGTGCTAAGCATCACCGAGGTCACGGAGCTCTGCAACAGCACTGACGCGATGGCGAACGCTAAGACCGAGAAAACTATGACGAAGTAGAATAAACAAACCCCGCGGAAGGCGAACTAGCTCTTCCGGCGCCCTCCAGTCCCGTGGTGGTGATGCCATCTGCTTCGCGACGAAGGAGCGCGATCTTCTCTAGATTTGGTGCCTCGGCCAGAAGTGCTGGCGGTCGGGGAGGTGGCTTGGTTAGGATTGCGCTTGAAGCGGAGGCGGTCCCGGATCGAGTGAGAGGTTTAATCGCTGCCGCCGGTGGTGGCGGTGACGGCGTCGTCGGCGCCTATGGATGCGGTGGTGGGGATGGCAGCTTCGTCGACTTCAGGAGGATGAGAGTATCGGAACATGGGGGACGGGAGATGGAAACCGGGGGAGGAAGTGCGGCGCGATCGAGAGGAATCAGAGGATGGAGACGAGAGATGGAAGAGAAGTGGGTCGTTAGAGTTTTGCGTTTTGGGGAATTAGGTTAGGGTTAGCCGGTTAGGGGAGGGGTCGTTTTGAGTGTGAGGGCGGGTCGTTTAGGTTAGGCTGGGTAGAGCTCGGTTAGTCGGCTAACCGCCGATTTCCAACCTCGATCTGTCGGCTAAACGAGCCACGTTCCCTCACCACCGCCAACCGACCGCTGCCAAAATGGGACGGTTTTCGGTTAGCTGAAAACCGGTTGGTTCGATCGAAATCGTCTGGTTAACTGCTAACCGAAAACCGGTCTGCCGCCCCTAATCTTAGCAGCCGCCAGTCGTCCTTCTCGATTGATTAGGTCTGAAGGGTATGATAAAAAGCAAAAAAGGGAAAAAAGGGGAGACGAGTCTTCGTACTGAAAAGAGAAAGGAATAGGTCAGATGTGACCGATTTATGCAAACCCATGTATTTTAAGAAATTAAAAAATGAACTAACATTAAGATATGCCCCGCCCAAAGTGGAGAACTCGGTCTCACCTAAATTTGCGCACAACAAATCTCCAAAATCCTTCCATGAACAGTGACCGCGAATATTTCATAAGGAACAGTGCTAGGATTTGTTATAAACTTGGCAATTAATAATTCTAATAATTTATATTTTGTTAAAATTGAGATGGAGAGGCAGTGATAGGAACGAGTTGAACCAATTCACAGTGAGAAGATACCTATGAACTGCTATTATTTCTTGCTTCAGGTTAGGTTACGGAGTAATTTCAGGCTAAGGATTAGTTAGTTTCACAGCCTGTTTCGTTCATCATTGTTTGTTAGTTTCAGAATCATTGTAGGAATTGTCTGTTATGCGATTTTGGCCATTGCATATTTGCAGGAGTACATACTTGCTCTTTTTATTATAGCTGAGTATGCTTTTGCCTGTAATACATATTTGGTACATATGGATGTAACTTTTTACGTTTAAGTGTCAACCTTATAGAGCCTGCATCTTTTTCTTCCACGGATAGGATGATAAAATCTAAGCTTGCTTGCTTACCTACTTATATTTAACTTTTAATTGTTGTCATGCTCATTCACCACCACTGTTTCCTTTATGTAGCTGCTGCTACAAAAGATATTTGAGGTTGTGTTACTTACTATCTTTTCACCGGTACTACTGTCTTCATGAGTTGCAACATTTCCCCCCTTAATTTCAATTATAGATTATCAAAATTATTGTAAAAATTCTCTGCAGTATTACTAATTATGTGCACCTAATAGATATCGTTGAATATTTGTGTTCAATTCCCATCATGGGATGCCCTTATGATGCGGTTGAGTCTGCTAGAGAAATGGTTGTAGTTACCTTTTGTAATTCTCTTATACGTTTGACCCTTATCAATCGACTTTGTAGCTGTCGTTTCACGGAAATACACCCATGAGAATGAGATGCTTATATTGGAATGGATAGAGGTCGTGTTGCGTGGGATGAATAGATAGGTGAGCTGTGTCTGTGTTTTGCCACCCCAAAGGTTGGTTTTGATAGTGCAATGGGAATGTACTTTCAGATAACTTCTGCTGTTATGTCTGTTCTTATTGCGAATGCGATGTTATACAATTCTATTTTCCTTTATTATGGCTTTGATTCCATACTCTCTCTGATTGCATCATTTGTACTGTACGTAGGCGAATCATGCTTGAAAATACAACTCGCTAATGAGACCAGAGCAAGAAAGCAAGCCATCGCTAGAATTCACAACGACAATGAGCGGTGATGCTCAAGACCAATTCCATAACGATGCTTGGTTGGCAGTAGGGCTGTCACTCGGTCGGTTTCGGTTTAACCGAAAACCGAATTGTCGGTTATCGGTCAAACCGAGACCTCGACCAGAGCTGCCACCAACCGACCGTCTGTACACCTCGGTTATTCGCAAACCGACCGTCCGGTTTCCGGTTTCGACTCGGTTAGCCGGCCAACCGGAAACTACATTTTCTAAAAAAAAAAAAATTAAAAGCAACGAGAAATCTGAACCACTCACTCCTAACCTAACCCCTCCATTTTCTCGATTCTTCTTCCCCTCCGTTTTCTCGATTTTCTCGATTCTTCTTCCCCTCCGTTTTCTCGATTCTTCTTCCCAGGAATGGATGTTCGTCGTCCTCCTTGAATCCGAACGCCCCGCTGTTCGTCCCGATGGCTTACCAGGCGGTGGAGGATTTCTCCGATCAGTGGTGGTCGCTCATCCAATCCTCCACCTGGTTCCGCGACTACTGGCTCCAGGAGCGCTACCAGGATCCCCAATCCGACTTCTTCCTCCCCGACGACCTCGATTTCTTCGACGACGGCGCCGATTTCCTCAGCGGCAAAGGTACTGGAAGTTCTGGAACTACTTCTACCTAGGGATTTGATTTAAGCTCGCTGAGTTGCCATTCGACTCGCTCACTGACTCGGGGGTGTTTTTTTCTTTTGGTTGTTGTTGCATATGTGGAGGAGAAGTAAGAGGAAGCGGCCCGGATGAAATGGGACAGCACCGTGTTGCCATGTCCATTCGATATGATGTTCGACCCTTTGCTCAAAACTGCCCACCCTCCTTCCTTGTCGTAGCTCAGCAGCTTCTTGATCTCCAGCATCATCGGGTCGTGGTCGTCGAGCTTGCCCTGCTGGATCTTGCTGAACAGCATGCTCTCGAGGCGCGTCTAGAAGAACCAGATCATGGTCGGGTCCTGCCAGAAGTAGCTCAGCTTCTCGACCGTGATGGTAGCGAGAACGCGGCGGACGAGCTCTTTCTTCGTGCTCTTCCCCACGTAGGCCATCTCTAAGGGAATTCGTGAGGCTACTGCGACGGCCCGGGCTGTGTTGGTGAATTTCCGGACCCATTCTACGTCGTCTCCGCCATAGAGGAAGATGTACTTGCCGTCCTTGATCTGGATGTTGGAAACAAGGGAGAAAACAGAGGAATTTTCAGATTTGAGCTTTGCTTTAGAGTTAGGAAACAGGGGAGAAAACAGAGGAATTTTCAGATTTTAGCGTTGCTTTGGAGTTAGGAAACAGGGGAGAAAACAGAGGGAAAAACAGAGGAATTTTCATATTTGAGCTTTGGTTTGGAGTTGGCTCTTTTTCTAGTCGGCGAGAAAGGAGAAGGCGAGGAGGGGGATCGGCGATTGTCGACTGATTTGGGGGAGGAGGCTGCGTGCGAGTGGCAGTTGGAGGGCGAGGGTGGAGGCTTGAGTTGCGTTGCCTTAGGGTTAGTGGGGGCAAGGGGCGGCGTCGTTTAAGGAAAGGGCAGGGGGTCGGTTAGCCGGTTAACCGCCGGTTTCTGACCCCGGTTAGTCGGCTAACCGGCCCACTGATTTCCTCTACCGCCAACCGACCGTGCTCTTTAGGTTCGGTTTTTTCGGTTAGCCGAAAACCGGTCGGTTCGGTTGAAACCGACCGGTTAGCCGCTAACCGGAAAACCGATTGCCAGCCCTAGTTGGCAGTAGTCTGCCTTACAAGTGAGTTTGCTTACCAGTGTTTCATTTTTGTTCTTCACTTTTTCTCTCTACACGACAAATTTATACCAGCCTCAAATATGTCAACATCAACAAATCATCTTACACCCTGGACATTTGACTTTCATGTACGTGTGCTTGGAAATGAGTTAAGATTTTCTTTACTGTCTTCTCCTAACAGTTATGGCTGGTTGCTATAACGACATGAGCATTTGTTAGTTCGCTGTTTGTGTTTCTGTGTTTTGTATCTGATGTTGGTTGCATTTTCACATTTTGTGTTGCCACGACCTGTAGGTTGGTCTTCAGGATGCCAAGACCAAACGTAGGGGTGGGCAATGGTGCGGTCCGCACCACACCGCACCATACCGTTATGAAATCGGACCGCACCGCATATAAGACCGCAAACTAATTGGTGCGATCTAACCAATCCGCATAATTAACGGGTTGGTGCGGTTTGGACCGCAGCCGCATATATGAACCGCATAATTAATGTACGCTACTGTTGTTTGTGGAACTTATTTTCGTTGTACCTCCCCACATAATTATGTTTATTTCTCTTGTACCTCCCGTCAACAGAGCTCAACTCATTAGAGATACACACGAAAAGAAGTTCCATTTCCAACTTTTATCTAACCATTAATGGCTCATGGCTGCTTGTATTTGCTCCTAGGTTCTGCCTTTAGTTTCTGGTACTAGTTTCAGAACAAGAAACATATTTGTCTTCTCCTCAGACCCACTAAAACAAAACAAGCTCATCAGTCAATCAATCACCCACTATGCTTACCGAGAGTAATGACTTGAACTAGATCGACTCTGTTTCTACTGCCATCGAAACAGAGCACCCAATCTGCTGATAACTACTACCCGAAGGAATTCTATTTGCAACTAAAGTAATCCATTACAGATACCATTGATATGCGTGTACTTGTCTAGTTGATCTCCCTCGCCTTCTCCCGTGGAATCGATTTCAAAGTTCACATCTTTTCTTCTTTCCATTATGCTTCACCAACGATGTATCCATGAAATTTGATTGTCTAGTTGAACTGAAACTTGGAGTTCTCAGCAAGCTAGCGTTATTTGCATCCCAGATTGTCCGCGGGTGAGGAGAACAGGGAGAGTTTGGCCTCAGATTGTTTCCGTCTCACCGCCGACAGACTCGTCCATAATAGCCATGAAGGTTTAGCGGTTTGCGGTTTTGAACCGCAACCGCGCGGTTTCGGATTAACCCGACCGCGAACCGCGAACCGCTAAAAATTCAGACCGCAATAAGACCGCAAGTCTTACGGTGCGGTTTGGCTTGACCGCGAACGCGGTTCGGTGCGGTTTGGGGCGGTTTGACCGCACCAATGCCCACCCCTAACCAAACGAAATGTCAAGCTACAGGCTTCTTTAAAAGAGTTGTGGCTCCAATTCTATAAAGGTAATGACAAATATACTAAGGAGTGCAAGTCTTCCAAGGCAACGACTACGAACGTCCCTGCTGTACAGAAGGTTCCGGTTGAGAACGCAATTTCAAGTAGAGGTACTATGCATATTTTATTGTTTCTAAGAAATTTCACACGAAAATATAATTTAGCTAGCGTCATATTACATTCTAAATTACATTAGTAGTTGTGAGCTGAAATGACAGAGGTTGCTTTCTGCACGCCGCAGTAAGCCAACTGGAAAAAAAAAAAGGTTTCAGTTCTTTTATTTGGTTAGATCCTTCTCCATTTGGGTTTTGCTTTCAAAGTGAAGGAAATTAAGTTCTCTGATTCTGTTTTTGTGTTAGGATTCAAGAGTTTTATCATGCAACTACTTCAAAAGGAATCCCAAAGGTGTGTGTCTGTTTCCTATCTATTTATTGTTTTGCTTGCTGTTTCAGTGCCGTTTATTTATGTTTTTAACTGGATTTTTTTACTGGGCCTGCAAATGCAATGACTCAGGAGCCAAAAGGAACCTGCAATTGTCCTCTGCTCCAAACATGCTTTGTTGTATTTTCACCCCGCTTCCAAATTGGTGGCACACGAAGCTCCATTACGACAGCACCAACAAGGAACATTTCATCATTCTCAAGCTTTGTGGGTCCGTGCATCTATAGAGTCTTGTGATGTCAGCTGCTTATCTTTGCAACTTTTGTTGCCATCTGTCGGCACCGCCATCTTATTAGTACTAAGCTATTAGATTACCCCAGCTCTTCCCATCGCTAGCTTCAACCCATCATACTATCAGAACCACGTTTCTCTTTCTTCACTTGCATTGCATGCCCTTACTATACAAGCTAATTTTCTTTTTTATACGACTGTTTTGTTTGTACTAGGGCTGTAACCTGTGGATGAGCATCGCCCATAGCCTCCTATTGAACTGCCAAATCACTTGGTAAGCTCTTCACCTTCATACAGATCAATGAGTAATTAAGTCTGGCACTACACTTCACATCCAACACATGTCATTCCTTTCTATGATTCAAGTATAGTTGTCATACTCGCTGTTTGTGTAACGAGAATATTTTTCTTGTGTTTATTTTTGCTTTGTCTTGGGTGATTGTGACTTTCCTTTATCTTTGAACAAAAGCCTAGGGGAGTATTCGTGAGAAACATCGCCTATAATCAAGCTATCAAGATGCATCAGGCGGAAATTCAAGATCCCATCATAATGTGAATGATAATGTTTCCAATGTTTTTCAGTCAGTTGTGTATTGTTTTGTGTTTCTATTTTGTGAGTTGGTGACTTCTTAATAAACTAAATTTATTTGTATTATTACATTAGATAGTTTATGATGAAATTTGTAATAAATCAAATTTCTTAGTGATTTAGCGTAGTATGACAAAGATTATTATTATCTTAAGCGTATGAATTGTTTATAAGACGGTTTGAGACCGATTTAAGATAGTCGGATAACAAAGATTCGAGGAACACATAGGGGTCGTTTGGATGGGTTAAATTTTTGTGTGGTATTTATAAAGTGAAATAACTCACAAATCATGAATGTGATATTTGTGTGTTATTTGGGGAAATTGAAAGTTAAATTGTGTCGTTTGGATGGTCCAAATAATGGGTTATTTTTTCTGTGGTGTTTGTGAACACAAATTGCAAAAATACTACAATGCCCTCCTTATATTTAATAATTAATAGATACCCAATCCCCCAACAACTCTATCTGCTCAGGAACAGAAGGTGGGGAGCTCTTTGCTGTAGAGCCCTCTCCCTCCTAGTGATTCTCGTCGGCGATTCTTACCTGGCGGCGCCTTCCGTGCCCAGCTCTGACCATCTTCTCCCTCCTCCATTGCTGCTCCATTACCAGGATATAGAAACAATGCAAGCTTCTCAATCTGGCCTCGTGAATGGAGTCGTTTTCTACAAATGTGGAAGTGAAGCCATAATGTGAACTTCCAGTACCCCATGAAATCCAAATCGTCAATTTTGGTCATGCCCGACTTATAAATCGAAGGTATGTTTTTGGTTTATTGTATGTATAGATAAAACCCCCCAAAGTTTAATGGTTGGGTTTAATGGCTTTTCATCAATGACAATTCGATTATGGTAACATGGAGGTTGCAAGTGCTTTCCGATGATTTTTTGTTGTATATGGTTTTCAGGTTGGTCGCTACTGTGACTCTTTTTTATTGGTGCGATCTTCGCACCATGCGAGATAGAGGCATATGCACCTGAAAAGGATAGCCGAGTTAGGGCTTCAACTAATTACCGTATAAAAAGGTTTACGACTCTAATATGGTGGTACTAAAGGCGAAATGGGAAGGCCTCAAGTCAACTATAGGGAGAATACTGGACCGCGGAAATCTTTGCCATGATTAAAATAAATGTGACAGTTATCCGTAAATAGCCAAGATTTAGGTAACCAGAGCGTGGAGCGGGTGCGAGAGCGTTAATTTTTAAAGAATTCAATACTGAAAGCGTGAATAAATCGTCAATATTGTATTATTTTAATTAATAAATTATTATAATTTTCAATTTATTAAATGAAATATGAGAAATATTTTACAACTTACTCATAATACACCTACATTGAAAATCAATAAATGTCTCTCTCTTCGGATAGTCTTCAACCTGACGAAGTAGAGGATCGAATTCGCCCAATTCATTCACATGCAGTTCTCCCTTTTCAAACCCAGCTCTGGGAATTTTTCATCCATCATCATGATCAGACCCTCGATAACTCCAAGGTACAATGAATTGAAGGAAGCTTGAATCATCGCGGCTGCGGGGAATCGTGTTCCTCCTTCCTCGATCACTTCTTCATCGCATCTATAGGTGGATGAAAGGAATCCATAGAAAACCTAACTGAAGATATATGAGATGATCGAAATTACCAGGGAAGAACTCTGATTCGCGTTTTGATTTCCTTAAATCGCGCTCCAATGAGATTAAATTCTCGAATTTAGTGCG